TTCCTGCTTGCCTACACGGATTTGGTTTCCTGACATGGCTTGGGAGAATGTCAGGTGTGATTTGGGCTTCAGGAAGAGAGTGGCAGCAGATGCTTTGCCTCCATACCTTCTACCTTTGATAGTGGTGATTCCCTTCGTGCTTGGATTGAAATGGATGCTGGGAACAGCATTTCCTGGTGTCCTATTACAGAATCAGTTAGGTTGGAAGGGACAACAGTGGGTCATCTGGTCCCACCTCCCTACTCCAGCAGAGCCACCTAGAGCATATGTATCAGGGTTGTGTCCAGATGGTGCATGAGCACCTCCAGTGAAGGAGAATCAACTTTGACTCCTCTGAGTGCATAAATACCAACTCTTGACTGCTACCAAAATCCGTCTGGTGTTCCCTCCTGTGCCTAGGGTGCTCCCCAGAGCTCCTGAAACCATGCAAGTGTGGCTGTCCAAAGGCACTTGGCCAACAGAAATATTCTCAGGTGGTATGTCAGGCAGAGCTTTGCTCCTGTCACTTGCTTGAGTGGGACTTTCCCCCACTTGGATGTCATGAGATATGCACAAAGAGCTTTCAAGTGAAATATAACCCTGTGATGATCTGTACCCACCAAACCTGCGGAATAACCTTTACTGATTGGAAATTCCTGTTGGTTTCTTGACAACATTGTGACTTCACCTTGTGTTTTTTAGCCCTAGGAGCCAGTTGGTGTCTCAAGCACCTGCATGTGGTGCCAGGAGCTCTTCAGGGTGCAAGTGCTAGAGCCATGCAGGAGGTGCCTAGCTGGGTTTGAACTCTGTAGTGATGGTTATTGGTTGGGTTATTGTAATTTGATTTACCTAAGATTGCTTGGAAGGGAAGAGCTGTTTAGTGGCTCGAGGAGGAGATTTGTGAAGCAAAGAAAGGTGAAATGTATTTCTGTTCTTGCCTTGTTCTGGGCAGTTTGGGGCATTCAGTCCTGAATTGCTCAGCCTCTGAAGGTACTTGGAGGCATTGGAGTTGAAGGTTCTTGTAAACATGGAACTTGAAGGCACTTGTAACACTGAAGGACCTTGTAAACATGGAATTTGAAGGACCTTGCAAACATGGAAGTTGCAGGTACTTTTAACATGGAAGTTGAAGGTACTTGTACCACTGAAAGTACTTGTAAACATGGAAGTTGCAGGTACTTTTAACGTGGAAGTTGAAGATACTTGTACCATTGAAGGTACTTGTAAACATGGAAGTTGAAGGACCTTTAAAACATGGAAGTTGAAGGTACTTGTACCATTGAAGGACCTTGTAAACATGGAAGTTGAAGGTACTTGCAAAAATGGAAGTTGCAGGTACTTTTAACATGGAAGTTGAAGATACTTGTACCATTGAAGGTACTTGTAAACCTTGAAGCTGAAGGTCCTTGTAAACCTTGAAGTTGACTCCTAAAAGGCTTTACTACCTCCACAAATACTTAATGATGTGTGTTATGGAATTGCATAAATACAGCAGGAAATCTGAGGGGGAAAAATCTGTGGTGTTGAGTCATTGTTTTTACTACACTTCAAATTTTTTCTCATGACTTGATGAAATTCCTCTCTAATTCAATCTTTGTCTTTTGTCTTTGCTGCCTTGCAGGGTTGGTACAGTAGGCCTCACTAAACTTAGCTGCACCTATGAATTTCTCCTACATCAACTGAGTTAAGGCTGATGCTCTTGTGGAATGTGGATTAAAAGGGCGTGCTAAAAGGTCCAAATTTCCATTTGAGGAGCGGAGAAAAAGTAAATGTACCACTGCCACCAGCATCAGGACAGCAAACCAAAGGGACAAAGAATTTGAGCCGCAGTGTTGCTAAATGTTAACTGGTTCACGTGTTGCTTAAGAGACCTTGTCTGGGGGGCGAGGAGAAGTTGGACATCAGCTGTGAGAAGGCCTTTTTTTTTTGGTTGACAGAAATGAGGGCTGCTTTGGAAACAGCAGACATTGCCATTGTGGCACTGTACTTCGTGCTGGTAATGTGCATAGGTTTCTTTGCCATGTGGAAGTACAATCGGAGCACCGTAAGTGGCTACTTCCTGGCAGGGCGTTCTATGACCTGGGGAGCTATTGGTGCCTCTTTGTTTGTGAGCAATATTGGAAGTGAACATTTCATTGGGCTCGCAGGATCTGGAGCAGCAAGTGGATTTGCAGTAGGTGCGTGGGAGTTCAACGCCTTAATGCTTTTGCAGCTTTTGGGATGGGTCTTCGTCCCAGTCTACATCCGGTCGGGAGTGTACACCATGCCTGAATACTTGTCCAAGCGGTTTGGAGGGCATAGGATTCAAATCTATTTTGCAGCCTTGTCTCTAATTCTTTATATCTTCACCAAACTCTCGGTTGACTTGTATTCAGGGGCACTTTTTATCCAAGAGTCCCTAGGGTGGAACCTCTATCTGTCGGTGATCCTGCTGATTGGAATGACGGCGCTGTTGACTGTGACTGGAGGTCTTGTGGCTGTCATCTACACGGACACCCTTCAAGCCCTGCTTATGATTATTGGTGCCCTCACACTTATGATCATAAGTATCACAGAGGTTGGTGGGTTTGAAGAAGTGAAAAGAAGGTACATGTTAGCCTCACCAAATATCACATCTATCTCCTTAACCTACAACATTTCCAATACCAATTCATGCAACGTGGACCCAAAGCCTGATGCTCTTAAAATGTTACGGGAGCCAACGGACGAAGACATTCCCTGGCCTGGTTTTCTGTTGGGACAAACTCCAGCTTCTGTCTGGTACTGGTGTGCTGATCAAGTCATAGTGCAGAGAGTTCTAGCTGCAAAAAATATTGCTCATGCCAAAGGATCCACTCTGATGGCAGGTTTCCTAAAGCTGCTGCCCATGTTCATTATAGTTGTCCCAGGGATGATTTCCAGGATACTGTTTGCAGATGACATTGCCTGCATCAATCCAGAACACTGTTTCCAAGTCTGTGGGAGCAGAGCTGGGTGCTCCAACATTGCCTACCCACGGCTGGTGATGAAGCTGGTGCCTGTGGGCCTGAGGGGACTCATGATGGCCGTGATGATTGCTGCGCTGATGAGTGACTTGGACTCCATCTTCAACAGCGCCAGCACCATCTTCACCCTCGATGTCTACAAGCTCATCCGGAAGAGTGCGACGTCCCGGGAGCTGATGATCGTTGGAAGAGTCTTCGTGGCCTTCATGGTGGTTATCAGCATTGCCTGGGTGCCCATCATTGTGGAAATGCAAGGTGGGCAGATGTACCTTTATATCCAAGAAGTAGCAGACTACCTGACCCCACCGGTGGCTGCTCTGTTCCTCATGGGGATCTTTTGGAAGCGTTGCAATGAGCAGGGAGCTTTCTATGGAGGCATGGCTGGGTTTGTGCTGGGAGCCATCAGGTTGATCTTGGCCTTTATCTATCGTGCTCCAGAGTGTAACCAGCCAGATACAAGGCCAGGCTTCATCAAAAACATCCATTACATGTATGTGGCAACAGCTCTCTTCTGGATCACTGGGATTGTGACCTTTGTGGTGAGCCTTCTCACCCCTCCACCTACAAAGGAGCAGGTGAGGACAACCACCTTCTGGGCTGTGAAGAGCAGGAACGTGACAGAGACCGCGGCCAAGGGGGAGCTGTACAAAGTGCAGGAGAAGAGCATCCTCAAGTGCAATGAGAATGCTAACCACATCATTCCAAATGGCAAGTCTGAGGAGAACATGAAGAACATGAAGCCAGAGGATATCAATCTCCTGGTGACTTGCAGAGATGACAGCAACCCAGTGATTTCCGTGAGCCACTCCGAGGTGGAGACACCAGTTGATTGTTACTCCAATGGACAAGCAGCTTTGATGGGAGAGAAAAAGCATGAGGAAGAGACTGAGGAGAGAGAGAGACATTTGAAATTCATAGATTGGTTCTGTGGCTTTAAAAGTAAAAGCATGAACAAGAGAGCTGTGAGGGAGGTGGAGGAAGAGACAGTTTGTTTACAAATGCTGGAAGAGACTCCCAAAGTTAAACTATTACTAAATACTGGACTGGTTTGTGTCTGTTCACTTGGAATCTTCATGTTTGTCTATTTCTCTTTGTGAATCAAAAAGTGAAACTTTTAAGGGTATGGCTAAACATACAGAAGTTGAGACAGGTCTCTGGAGATTGGGGGTTTTTTTGCCTCTTTGGTTTCTTTTCCAACAACATAACCACAACCCAGGCATTGTTTACGCTGTAATTGTAAGCTCAACTCAGCTTTAGCCTATTTCCAGCCCATTGCAGACGTGTCCTCTCTCTGCTGGAAGCAGAACTTGTCCTGTGGTGACTTTTTTTTTTCCCTTTTGTGTTTTCTTTTTTTTTTTTTTTTCCCATTCCATTTTGCAGGACTAAACCTTTTTTTTAATTTTTTTTTTTTACATGTCTAAATATACCAAAGGCAGCAGGTGGCTGTGTTTGAAGTCAGGCAGTGCCAGCTCAGTCAGCACCGAGTGAAGATAACAAGTAATGATTGACCAAGGTGGAAAATCTCCAGGATTAAAGCTGTGGCAAAAGAGGTTTTTTTTCAACCTAGAGCTTTGATGCTTTGTAACATAAATAGTACCTTGACCAAGTTTAAGCTTGTTCAGTTTACTCCTTGCTTCTAGTTTGTGTGGCTTTTTTTCATTCTCATTTCTCTCATGGCAACAACAAGAAGTTATTTTGTCTCATGTTATAGCACTTGATAGTACTTAGAGCTTTTTTGGGTTTTTTACTTTATAAGAAAATTTTGAGAGGTTTTGATCCATTTTAATTTTTATCCTCTGTAAATTCCATGACTGAAAAGTTGTTGTATTTAAACAATAACAAAGATTAAAAAAACCCCAAAAATAAGACTGGAGGTAAAAAACTGGCAATGAAGGGGGCAAAAAAATCAGAGAAATACTCTTTATTTGGAGGTTGTAGTAGATTTGTGGATGAAGCCTTGAGCAACCTGCTCTGGTGGGAAGTGTCCCTGCCCAGGGGTTGGGACTAGATGATTTCTGAGCTCCATTCCAAGCCCTAAAATTCTATGATTGAAATAGATAAATTCAGCCTCTTCAGCCTCTGAACCTTTAGGACGTAGTTAGGATCAGCCTCTTTTTTAGGGAGAAAATTCTGGTTATAGGTTCTGCCATGTGGGGCAAAAGAGCCTTGTGAGGCTTTGCGTGGCCTCAGCTCACAGAACTGTTTCACACAGCACAGGAACTGTTCTCTGCTGTGGATGCCTGGAAGCCTGAAGCTGCTGCAGATGAGGCTGTGAGGGGAGAAAACCAAGTGGGGAGACAAGTGGAAGGGGAAATGGGGGAAAGAGGTGGAAGTGCTCCTTATTTTCCACAGTCCTTTTGCCTCCTGTTTTCTCCCACTTCTCCTTTCACCCTGTCAAACCTTGTTTTTTTGGGTTGAGGAAGGACTCCTGAGGGACTCTGTGTCAGGAGACAGAATGTGCAGTTACAATCTGTGTCATCAATTGAGGTCTCTCCTCAGGATCTTTCCAGAAAAGCTCCAGTTCTCCCCGGTGGTCACAGCCAGTTAGTAGGTCTCAAGGTGCTGAGGAGCTTCTCCGCCGGGGGCTGGATGCTGAGGAGGGAGGAACAGTCCCCAGCTGTGGAGGATGTGTGTGGAGCTCAGCAGACCAAAAGGTTGCAGAGCTCATTCCACTTCCCCCTTGGGAAAACAGAAGGATGTGTCACCACCTCGGGTGTGTGCTCACCCTTCTGCTAACCCAAGCTGGAGCTTGTTTTTGGGACCAGCTGCTACCCATAGTGTTAAACTCCCTCTTGCTTCAGGACAGAGTGCTCGTATCCAAGCTTTCCTTGGAAGTAATCCTTCCAGTTGTCTGTGCTCCCAAGCTCATCTCAGGACGTGGGAGAGCATGAATTGGTTGGGCCAAAAAGGGTCTGAGGGACCATGCTGACACTTCCACAGAAGCGATTCAAAGGTCCAGTGATGTTTCACAGAATTGTTTAGGTTGGAAAAGACTTCCGAGATCATCGAGTCCAACCCATGACCAATCCCCACCATGTCAACTAGCCCAGAGCACTGTGTGCCATGTCCAGTCATTCCTTGGACACCTCCAGGGGTGGTGACTCCACCACCTCCCTGGGCAGCACATTCCAATGCCTAACCACCCTTGCTGGGAAGAAATTGCTCCAACCTAACCTCTCCTGGTGCAGCTTATGACTATGTCCTCTCGTCCTGTCACTTGTTGCATGGGAGAAGAGATTGATCCCACCTGGCTGCACCTCCTGACAGGAGTTGGAGAGAGTGCTAAGGTCCCCCCTGAGCCTCCTGTTCTCCAGTCTGAGCTCCCTCTGCCACTTCTTTCCTTGGCATACAAACAGGAACCAGTTCCTCTGGGTGAAGTAGCACTGTAGAGGTGAAACTGGGGTTGATCCTGCCTTTGACTGCTGGAGAAGGTTTACTTTCCAGTCCAGTGGTGCTGTAAACCACAAACCATCTACAGAGCTTTTAGTAACTCTTGGCTAATACATATTTCCAGATCAAATGCTTCACTTCCATTTTTTGTGGGTGTTTTTTTTTGTGTGTTGGTTTTTATCAGTTGAGGCTCATTCATTCCAAGACTTTGAACAGAGGACCCAGTTTTCTCCACTTGGCTGAGTTGTTGCTGCTGGGAAGGAGGCTGCTCTGAACTGGAAATGCAGGAGTGGTGTTGGAATAGCTGTAGGAGAGGAGAGTCACCATACCTAAGTCTTGATGTTGCTACCAATGTGCCAAGACACATTTTCTTCTGGTTGATGTGGTTGATTTCAGTCAGAAAAATACTTTAAACCTTTTTCAGTGGTAAAAATGGTGTGTGGAATAATATCTGGAATCTCAAGGAACTTCTTCAGTGAGCTGCGAAGGACAGTAGGATAGCAGAACAGCATGAACTGTTTCTATACAGTAGAAACCAATGTAGGGGCAAAATTTGACCTTAGTGGGATGTAAAAGAACAACTTGTGGAGGGGAAAGATAAGCCTCAGCCCACCAAAACCTTCTCCCAGAGGTTGGGATGTGGCTAACATGCCTCATTTGGCACAGGGGAAGAGACTCACGTGCCAGGCATTGCCCCTTAGTCACTTGGCATGACTCATGGAGCAGCTGGTGCTTGGGTTTTCCAGGCCAGTCCTCTTTGCTCTCAATCTTAAAAGCTTTGCCACCTAACCTGGGAGTCCAGGTTAGCTCAGGGACCCTTTGGCTTGGCTGCCATCGCTTCACCTGTGCTTGCTTTTTGCCCCAGGGTGCCTTACATGGTTTGGAAGCTGAAGGCACAGCTTTAATTGCCACCTGAGGAGGGGTTTGCTTCCAGTGGCTTGTCCCTGCTTGGTTTTCCTCCTCTCTGCCCCTCCCCAAGTCATTTACTGTGTGAAGAGGATACTCGAAAGAGTTAATCTGCAGTGTCCTGCTCAGTAGATCCATGGGGAGATCCTCTTTTGACCGTGGGACTCAAGTCCTTCACCCATGAGCCTGAGATACTTCATCTTCCAGCTGATAGATTGTCCCTTTGACCCAACAAGTTGCCACATTAATTCTCAATTCAACAATACTCTGTATCCACACCCACCTGGTCTTGGGACTTGTTGGAGAGCTTCTTCACAATACCAAGTTCTTTCTCCAGTGCTTTTTCTCTTCAGGCATTGAAGAACCTGTTTCTAGGCCACTTTCTGCCTCCCTTAGGCCTCTTCCGCCTCACTCCGTTTCCATGTCACAGAGGTCCTAGAACTTTCCAATGTTCTTTGCTGCATAAAAAACACTTAATAAAGGCCTTTTTTTGTGAAGTAGATGTATCTCTAAGGCTTCAAGCCTAGTGGTGAGCAATTCTCTTGCTCTGAGTTTTGGCCCTTAGGAGCAGAAGTTGCCTGAGGATGTGCTTATAGTGTAAACATGCCTTGTGCTGAGCCTGGAAGAGCTTGTCCAGCCAGGTTGAAACACCTGTTTTTGGGGGCCAGTAAAACTAGGAAGTGTCTCCCAATGATGGACAATCCACAAAGTTTGTTGCCTGGTTTCCTCCTCTTCCTCTTTGGTTCCTCCTCCTTCTTGAGTCCTCCTCCTCCTCCTTGGTGGTGCAGAGGAGCATGAGGTGGAGATGTGTTTCTGTCTTGCAGAGATTGATTTATTTATTGCCTTTGAGCTTAGGATGAAAAGTCTTGAGGAACTTATTGTGGAATACATTTTTTTCCCTAGTTATTCCCCTTAACTTATTTTTTTTTTGCCTGGTAAGATAGTTTTCTCCCAGATATGTGTTCAAAGCCTTTTATTTAACCGAAAAAAAGGACTTAAAAAAAAAAGGGGTTAAAAGTACTTTTGGGAGATTTATTTAAGTTTTTTAAGGTGTGATTTGATGTTATTCTCTGCCAAAGTTGAGAGGGTTTTTTGGGGTATTTTTTAGGGTGTTTTTTGAGGTATATTTTCCTTTTTCTACTAACTGAAAGGAACCAGGGAGAGATTCTGAGAAATCAGAATGGCCTTCAATATCCCTTGTGTTTTTTTTCCTTCTCCACGTGTAATTCCCTGATCCCAGAAAGGCCACCATGAGACTTCTGATGCAAGTCATGAGCATGGAAAGACTTTCCTTCCCCTGAGGCTGCGCTGGGGTGGTCAGAGCCTTCCCAGGAGCTTTGCCCCAGCACTTAGAAGATGCTTAGGACTTTAAAGCAGCTTTATTTTTGTTATATATCTATTTTTTTAAATCCTGAGATAGAGGAGGTGTGTGGGGAGATGTTCCCTATCCGAGGACAGGATCCATGAAAGAAGCTGGAGATGCCAAACTCTGGTTTTCTTGAGGGAAATCTTTGGATTTAGCTTGTATAGAGAAGCAAAATTCCTCACCCTGAGGTATGAATTCTTTGCTGTTCTGTATGTTCTGTGCCCTTAAATGTTTCCTGGAGCTAAGAACTTTGTTCTGTGACGTTCAGACCCAGCGAATTTCTGTGCAGCATTTCGAGTTCTTTTTTTATACAGAGAGAAAACACAACCACAACAAAATGTTTGTACATAACTCAGTGGTTTTCATGTGCTTCCCTTGGCCTAAGGTGATGACTAGCCCTAGAATTGTTAACACATCCAGAATTAATTAGGCTTT